CCTCATGACAGGAGTGTTTATCTGAGGCCAGGGGAGAAGAAACTAAACTGGACTGCAGGACCTCCTGGAGACCTGAAACCTTGGTGATGAGTGAGGACCATTTAAACCTCTATTTTGTTTGTCAATGATCATCAGATCATATTGAAGCTTTAGTTTTATGAACATATAGAATGGTTGGGTTTAGTCTAGGGTGAATTATGGCTTTCATCTACAATCAATGTCTCAGCAATCAATCAAAGCATGAGATAACAACAGATCCAGTAAAATCCCATACAGTAAAGTCTCGAGAAGATTTGTGTATGTAAATATTATTTCAAATTGGATAGGGCATAAGATAAACAACCCCTAAAAGTTGGGGATGAAACCTAATTACGGGTTCCGTTCGAGATATGAGTCCAAAACTCTCTTATATTCAACTTATTCTTATTGCTAATTTTTATTAAAATCAGATAAAAACAACGGGCCTTAGTGCCTCCTCCATTGCGATGCTTAGATTTGTTCATCGGTCCAAGACCGGACCTGACCAAACTAAAGACCGAATTGTACAAAATCACGGACTGAAGACCTAAACTTATTTGGTTTTGGACTGGACCGGACCAAAATACTTAGGACTGAACTGGTCTGGACCGATAGCATCGAATAAAAATAAATTTTGTAATTATTTTGATCTATTAATTATGCAAATAGAAAAAAATAAGATAAAACGGACAAACTAAAATAAGGCACAAAACATAAGACTGCTATGTATAAAAAACATCGTTAATTAAATAAATTAAGACATCTATCGAAATAGAGCATCAACATGTAATACCAAACTTAAAAAGTAAAGTTTTAGTGTTTAAGACTTTTAGGTCCAATAGAGTTATTAGGTCAAATTGGTTTGAGCCTAAATTTATTCCAAGTTTGGACCGGATCGGACGAAAACCCGAATGCTTAATTTTTTTGGATCGAAGACTGACCCAATCCGAGTTCAATAAGGACCTAACGGTCTGGTTCGATCAATTTTTTTGGTCTGGGAATAAACTTGAACAGCCCTAGTGACTCTTACGTCTTGCCCTTGGTTTTCCCACTAGTTGCCTCAGCCTCGGCGTGAGGTGTAGCTGTGGTTGAATGTCACTCCTTAACCATGCTAGCTTTCCATGTGGTTTGCTGGGCAAGTTTGCCACCCTCGTAACCTCGAGGATTCCTCAAACACAAATCTCGAAAGACGCTACATTCAAAAGGATCGTGTCCAAACTTCTTGGCATGGAAGCAATAGCTTGGAAGGCCCTCAAACACAACCTTTTGAATGTATGAATCCACCCCCTCCCCCACTCCCCCAATGAAGTTCAACTTCAAATAAGGAAAGGAGTTCCTTTGCCATGTCAACCATAATCAATATTCTAAAAAATTTAACCCTACGCCATTCCTTTGTGGCTTGATAAGTGTGTATGGTTTTCCCAGTCTAGATCCCAAGCACTCAAGTGCCACAAGAATTTACAATTGCAAAGGCACATCAATAAACTTGACTCACACATCGACCTTCAAGAGTATAAGTATAGGGATCTTTGAGTGAAAGTTGAGTGTAAACGTTAATGAGTACAAAAATGCTAGGGAAATACTAAATGTGTATCCTATTTGTACATAATGACTCTACCTACCACACACTTCTTGATGTGGATACGAAAAATGTAGAATATATTAGAAATATGTGAGGCCGTGTGTAATGAACGTGGATTCATCACCAAACGTCTAATGACACCCTTTAAACAATGTCCCTTTCGGTGTTAACTAGCTCAAAAGCCATTTAGGCGTGCTTGAATTCACGACCGTATCACCAAAAAACTATGCTATGCTCTGTACGTGCATCCGTTTTTCCTTTTTTGTCCCAATTTAAGTTCTCTGTTAGCTATTCACAATATCAAATTTTAACCACGTTCTTGACCCATTTTCATGACCCATTTGAAAATATAATATAGTCTTGTCACCTCTTGGTTTTTAGAACTTTTAATGTAGTTTTTAAGTATAAAAGTTTTACGGAGTATTTTTTAATTCCTTACCAATTTTTAAATAACTTCAGTCAAACCACGTACACAATATCAAGCGTCTCTTTTTGGGACGGAAGGAGTGCAACTTTGTCTAGTGTTTAACTGCACACTTTTTTTCATCTCAAAATGAATCTTATGACATAGCGTACACATGGAAGAAAACGCTCTAAAGTACCTTGAACCACTACGTATGGTCTAATGAGAAGACTAGAAGACTAGTGAATGTCGTTTGAGTTGTGTGTTTCAAGTGAAAGTCTTCTCATGGATACATTAAAAAAAGGATGAGCCAACCAATAGGAGTCAAATGGTCAACACCAACAATGAAGCAACTAACAAAAAAACAATCGGACCGGTACCCCGGTTTTGGTACTTCCACTTCAGAAACCCAATAACGTTGCTAATTGAGAATACTCCCTTCGTCATATTAATGTTTTCTTTCGGGAAAAGGAAAACATGTATAGTTTATATGATTTTTTTTCTTCTATACAAACTATAATCACACATATTACACTTTATTAAAAATTGGTGTGTCAAATCAAATATAGGAAAAAAGTTATGGGACGAATGCAATATGTAATACATTAAGAAAAAAGAAAATAATTTCAGCCAACTAGGATCAGTGCTTTAGAACACGTTAGAATAAGACTAATGATATTTGTACATCGCCCAACTGCACACCGGTGTTTTGCACTAACAAAACAATGATACACACAAACACAAAATGCAAGTGTGATTGCCTGTGTCGCACTAATATCTTGTGTCAGTGTATCTCAGTACTTTGTCAGTGCATAACACACCGTATAAAATGGTGTACATTTGTAGTGTGCAAGTAGCACAACATTTAGAATAAAGATACACGTGATATTAGTATTAATTACTTGCTCCGTATTAGATGTGTACGCAAACAAGACAAGAAAGGTGAAGATAAAACACGGATGTTATCCTTCATAAGTGGAGTAACTATATCATACATCAAGTTGTATGGTGTTTTCTATACAACTCCATTAATACTCGTTTTCGAGTAACTGAATACTCGTTTTCGAGTAATTCAATACTCATTTTCATGTAACATAATACTGATTTTAGAATAACTAGTCATTTTTTAGCATAACTAAATTTTAGAAAGAATGTGTATTCAACTACTCAACTGTACACATTAAAAGTGAACTTGTTCAGACATATGAGAAACACCGTACAATCAGTTGTACGCTATTGATAGAATTTAGGATGAGTATGAACAACTGGATTGGGCAATAAGACACTTGGGTTGAACCACATTAAAAGATTGAATCCAATCGATTACATAGTTCAACTCTAGAGCTTATATACCGATTATTTTACTCTTGAATTTCCAATGTGGGATGTAGTCTAACACTCCTCATCAAGTGGACAACCGGGCCATTTTGAATCTAACCGGTTGACCACTTGCAAATGAACTCCCATTCCCTTAAACTCTTTTTGTTTTTGAGCGCCAACACCTAAAGGACCACGAGCCGCTGGACATGGACTTCCAAACGAGCAATCGTGTTAAACGGGCCACAGGCCGTTGGGTACACACTCCATACGGACAACTGGGCTAAAGACTAACGGGCCGCTAGGAATGAACGTCTAGACGGACACCTTGACAAATGAGGTGGGCCAAAACCTGCTCTGATACCATGATAGAATTTAGGATGAGTATGAACAACTGGATTGGACAATAAGACACTTGGGTTGAACCACATTAAAAGATTGAATCCAATCGGTTACTTAGTTCAACTCTAGAGCTTATATACCGATTATTTTACTCTTGGATTTCCGATGTGAGATGTAGTCTAACAGCTATAAGTGAACTTGTTAGGTATTTGAATCAAATTGAGCTTTGCAATTGTGTTTTTTTAAAGATACACCAATTCGAATGTCTTGCTCCGTGATCTTGAAATTAATGCATGCTATCACATTGGAGTCCACATATTGACTTCTCCCCCTGACTTGAGTAGTAAGAAATCCACTCTCCAGAATTCATGAGAAATTTCACCTAAATTTGATCCTCATCGGAGGCGAAAGCGTTGACTCTTTGTGTATCATTAGATTGAAAAATGTATGAACAGATGCGACATTGTCAAGAATTCCTTCGACACAACGCATCAACTGCAAATCTCTAATCTCCTTAATCACATCATTTGCTATGTCAGATCATCTTGCATTGTTATTACAAGACAATCCTACATATCTCTTTTGGTCATCTTATGTTGGTAGACCATCACACAACGCAACCCACTTCTACCCACTTTGAACCTACATTATGATATACTCCCTTCAGTCTTAAAAACCTTTCTTGTTTTGATTTTTTTTGTCGATCATTGACATTCTTTGACTACAAATTAAACATACTCTAAATAAACAAATGGTATAAAAATTTGACATATCAAAACAATATCCTAAGATGGACCCAATTATATTGAATTTGTATTATAATTAAATATACTTTCTCACAATTTATGGTCAAAAAATGTCATTGTTTGATCAAAAAAATCAAAACAACAAAGAGTTTTAGGACCTGAGGAAGCACCATATATTGGGACCGCTCATACCTCACCACAATCTTGCATTATTGTGATATTATTTGGAATATTTGCTTTAGGCCAAGCTCTCACAGAGGGGTTGGATCAAACCTTTTTCTTTTTATTTAAATTTTCTTTTACTTCCCAGTGTGAGATGGATTTGGTCCCAACAAAAACATGATAACTAGCTCAATCTTTTCCTAAGGAAACTAGAAATAAGATTATAAAGAAGCATAGTGTTGACAGCCTAAAACTATCACAATTATGGACATATTATCCCTCCATTCTTAAATTAAATTCTCATTTACTTCCAATGCAAAATAAGATAAAAACTGTGGAACTGTGGTTGAGTTGAGAGAGGAACCATATGAACACCGCAATTATAAACAAAAATGAGAACTTGAGGCACATGCAAGAAATGAAAGATTTGAACTGGTTAATAAATTCATTCCACCCATAAAAGGTCAAAACCAAATTAAAACTAAGTCACAGCTATATAAACACATATCCACTTACACCACAGCAGTACAACTATCAACTGGAAAGGCGGTGCCTTATTATGCCCCGCGCCTCATCCAGCACAAAGTTAGCCATTGAGAATTCGTTGCTATTAAAGAATTCTCTTAGATCCGAGATGCTATAGTCAAGTGCCTGCACAAAGAAAAGGAGGGTTTCCGTGTAATTAATACGGAGCACTGGTTACCAACTTGCAAAAAATAGATTCATCATGAGCATTTCACTGTGTGTATTCGAAAGCCGCACCTTGTTTTGGAGTTCTTCCACTTTCACATCAACATGACTCAAATTTGCAGCAGAACCAGACATGATTTCTTCCAGGTGGATTGCATCCTTCACCAGCCCACGCAATAGATGCATGAGAATTGCATTGAAATCCCTTTTAAATGCCATGTACTTTTTGAAACTCTGCACAAGAGACAGTCAAAACAGTCAAGTTACAATCGATTGCATTAAGATTTATTCTTCTGGGATTGTGTGATAACACTAATGTATGTTTTTTTTGTATTCTCTGTTGAAAAGGTTTAGGGTACACTGTAAATGGGTACGGAGAATAAGAGGTATTGGCGATGGATTGATTACTACCTTTTGCAAAGCTTTCTGAACCCCGAATTTCTGTGTTGATATAAATGACTCCAGAAGGACTCGAATAGCCATGTCCACGTCTTCTTGAGTGACGTGATGTCTAAGGTGCATCCTAGCATGGGCTTCAGACATTCGAATCATAGACTCTATATGTCTCACTGCTATAGGAACTCCTTGTCCATGCTATGTCACGTCAAAATTAAAAAAGTTGATTTCATTTTTTTCCAATTTTAGAACAATGAAATGATTAAAAAAAGGGAAGCTTTCATACTGAAGATTCTCTTCTTAGTTCGGCGTACACTTGTGTGAGCTTGTCTAAATCAGCATCATGCAACTTTGGGAAAACATTTAGCTTGGCATAGGTTAGGTACTTCTTTAGCAACTCCTGAGGAATTATCTGTGAACATAAAACACAAATTCTCAGTTCAACTAGTTGGGATCAAATCTGGATATATCTTGCACAATATAAATTAAAGGCAAAACCTCAGGGTCAGGTGGCAACAAATTAGATTCAAGGTCATCCTGGGAATATGCATCATTGGATCTGTCATCTAAATTGGCACCTTTAGGTGTTGACTTGAAATGACTGTCAACAACAAACCTTGCAAGCATTTCATCAGTGACTGGATCAACTACATCCTGCACAAAATCAGTTATCTCTATTATCAAAAATTAAAATACCTCATATGAGTGTGTACTGATTATTAAAACGGGTCAAGTTCACTTATATAAAGTAAATCAAGCATAAAACCTTGACAACACAAAGAATATCAAAACGAGAAATAATTGGATCTGTCAGTTCTACATTCTGTGAGAAATTCTTTGAGGAATCATATCTGCAATGATTTTAAAAAAAAAAGTTAGTGAAGTAAAAAAGGAAACAGATAAACAAGCTCAATTTTTGTAGCAAACTAGCTACTCATGCACCTTCCTCCAATGGGATTTGCAGCAGCAATGACGGAGCAGCGTGCTTGGAGAGAAGTGACAATCCCTGCTTTTGATATACTTATGCTCTGCTGCTCCATAGCTTCATGAATACTTACCCTGAACAACACAAAAAAACATAGGTTTTTTGTGTGGGGTAGACAAAATAGGTAGGCACAGTAAAATAATATTAATAAATGGCATTTCAAACCTGTCTTGATCATTCATTTTGTCAAACTCGTCTATCAGACATATCCCTCTATCAGCTAGAACTAGTGCCCCACCTTCAAGAGTCCACTCACGAGTGACTGGGTCCTTGTGCACTGCTGCTGTAAGCCCAACTGCAGATGCCCCTTTTCCAGTGGTATAAACTGCTCGCTGCCCTGTTTTCTCAACATATCTTTAAAAGAAGTTTCTATAGTTAAATAACCAGTCTCCTTGATGAACTAGTACACTTAAAGAATTCCTTTTTGGGGAACATAAGAGTAGATGCTGCAAGGGAACATAAAAGAATTCTTACTTGAGAAATTGTGACTTTGCTGTCCCAGGATCACCTAAGAGAAGTACATTTATGTCTCCCCGCAGCCGGTGCTTCCCATTAACATTTTTCTCTTGGCCCCCAAACATTGCAAGAGCTATGGCAGTCTTTATGTCCTCATGGCCGTAAATTGATGGGGCAATTGATTTAAAGATCTGATTCCAAAAAACAGATGTTAAGAAGTGTGAAAAGATCAAAAGAGAATTAGTATTCTAACACTATTTTTCCTGCTTGCCAATAAAAAATAATAACACATCATTTCAAATATGAAAAAACCAGCATACTCGCTCTCCAATTCTTGGGTCTTTTGCCAACATCAGAATTTCTTCTTTGTCCTCTTGAGTTAATTTGTAAGCTGAAAAGAGATCGTGCTTCTTTGTGACATAATTTGCTTCAACTACAGTGGCAAACACGGGAAATCCGTTCTTGGTGTTCAAAGACAAATCAAAATTATTTGTATATATGCCCGTGACTTCCTGAAAATCCAGAAATATGAACAAAGTGAGGAATCAGATCCATCAAAACTTACCAACAAGAATCAAAACAGCTTTACAGCAAAATGTATCACGACATTACAATCTCTTCTCCAGGACGAGCGCAATCAATAAGATCATTCAGCAGTATCACTTCCTTATATCTTGGAAGGCGACCAGCAGGAACAATTCCAGGGCTCTCTTGAAGTGTCAATTTCTGATAGTTCCTGTAAATTGTCTATAAAAGAGTTGTTGAATCAGCCAGCTAAATCATCATGGAGATGCAAGAAGCTTCATTAGAGATTCAGCGTTCACCTGCTCAATATTGACAGTGAATGGACCTTTAGACTGGCACTCAGGACAAGAACCGACTTTAACTTCCGAATATGAGTTCTGGAAAAAGGGGCCTAAAATTGAGCAACACTTGTTGCAATCAAACTTTACTTGCTGCAGCTGAGGGAAAACACCAGACCGCCGGGTGACAACTCCCCCAATACGAATCATGGTATTCAAATGGATCTGCCTGAATCAAGGAATGCATATTGTCAATAAATTCATGGTAAATTGGTAATATTTTTTTATGAAGCTGAAAAGAAATAAGACTAATATTACCGGATATTACGAATCTGATCATAAACTGGTAAGTTGGTTATGCGAACATAGATCCTTTGGTGAATTTTCTTATAATTCGGATGCAAATCAAAGACAACCTTGTTTGCAACTTCCTCCATTACTTCAAGGATAGACTGGGGTGCATCTGCCAGCCAGATTGCAATATTTGGGTGACAATATATAAATTGTTTATAATCGATCTCAAGGCTGCATTTGTTAACTGCAGAAACAAAATGAACAAGTTCAATAGGAGAGTAAACATTGGGCAATTCCTACTATAGTGACTTATCAAATGCTTTATATAATCACCTCAGTACATCACAATATAAAAAAAAGAAATATCCAGATAACTAAATGCACCAACAGGCATACCTGCAACCATCTCATTTATTTGTCTCAAATAATCTTCCTGATTAGTCTTCGAATTTACATATGTACGCAAGAACTCTTTGAACCGTTTAGCAACAAACCTCCGAACTTCATCCCGAGTGACCCACTCTCGCAGAGTTCCCTGAATCCGGTACATGTCAAGCCCTTCTTCGTTGTCCTCATCCTAAAACAAAGCGAACAAACCCCTGTAAGTTAAATTGTTAAATATAAATCCCTATGTTGTTGTTGTAAGGTGCACTGAGGCATTTTGGTGAAAAAAATCCAAGGTGTGAGGCACATATACTTGAGAAAACTCGGTTATATGACTTTTATATGATATCATGCAACAATTAAAACACAAGGATATAATAATATACCAAAGTTTAGATATAAATAACATGTTTAGCAGCAAAATAAGACTCCACTCCAGAAATAACTAAAAAAATATTTGCAGCACTAAAATGTATACTCCGGTATTAATTAATAAAGTAAAGCAAATTTATGAGGATTATAGTAGACTAAATTAAACAGCATAACATCATGTAATAATGCAATCTCGGAACTTTAAAAAAATTGGGAAGAGAAATAGAAACATGTTTGATTATGCCACCTGGCAAACTTTGATTCTCAGAAGAGCCTGGGGCTTTGATCGTGAAATACTGAAATGGAGGCATGATCGATGATTCTCAAAGAATATGAAGTGGAAGGAAAATACAGCAGAATCAAGATGGATGAAGAACTGGACAATGAATAAAAAGAGAAAAAATTTGTTCTGCCATTCTGTTGTGCTGAGAAAATCAAATGACAGACGGTTGGTCCGTACATGGCTTTGGTATCCTTCAAATCTTGGATCATACAAGGTGAGATGACTGATGTAAATCATTTGCCCCTATTAAGTCCTGGTTCTTGTTAAAAGATAAAAATAAAAATCTGCCAGTACCCATCGGTGAAGTGAGGGCCAGTACCCATCGGTGAAGTGAGGTGAAGGAAGTGCACGCCTCACAGCAGGATGATGGTGCACGAAGGCGCTATGCACAGCACGCCTGTTTAAGGTCGTTGTGCCTTATTACCTTGAGGAGCAATCCAGACCATATCACTACGCCTTGCGCTTTTTAAAATAAAATATTGAATTGAATTGAATTGACACTTAAAGAAAAAATTTCCAAAGTTCTCTCTTGAGTACCCTCAGTGGTTTTGTGAGAGCAGAAAAATAAAGTTGAGCTCAAACCTCATATTGTTCATCATCAGTCTGGTCAGTCATAGGCACATCTCCTGAGTTGCTCCCTCCCCCTCTCCATCTAGACCCATCACCCCCCGGTGAGCTCTGCATTGCATCACTATCATCAACACTATTTGGCGTGGTTGGGGGCCTAAAATCAGCTCGGGACCTTTTTGTTGGTCGATAATTGTCATCATCCGTATCTGGAGTTTAGACACCACAATGTTTAGTTAGAGTGCATATCGTATTCCACCCGCAAAAGAAAATCACCCGCAAAAGAAAATTTTGTTTCACAAATTTATACCTTTTAAATTTTCGCACGGGTAAGTCATCAGAGCTAATTACAATTTCTATTTTGTCAGCTCAAACTTTGTTTTTAGGGAAAAAATGCAAAATGCTCAATGAAATACAAATTTTCATTGAAGCACGCTAATTTTTTTTGTGACGAAATGACATTTTGAAAGAAGACTTTTTCCTGTCATGGGCCATGCCCCATTCCCAGTCAGGTTAAAATTCGAATAATTGTGAGAACCTAAAGGGGGTATCAAAAACAATAATACCTATGACACTTCAAGCCATTGCTTTTTCATAATGTTCATACATTATTTAGGAATGGCACACTTGTGGTCCATGTTTGACCTATTGAGGGAACTAACAAGCACACTTTTTTGTTTCATGGGACAGTATCATTTATTGTGTTCACCAGTGTCTTAGAGCAACAGCTTAGAGTATATCATAGAAGCAAGCATGGAACCTTGCTCAAGCACAAAACAATTTCAAGTGAAATTAAGGTAAGGAAGGATTGAAGCTAGTGGGCCTTCAGAAATTTGGTTAAAAGCATAATAATTAACTAGAGTCTGCACTATACTATAATAACTTAACTCATCAGAACCTAACCTATTACGGAGTAGTTTTTTTCATTTACTAAGCTAACTGAAAACCCAAATTTGGAATGATAGCCTACTAGGGAAATAGATAGAATTTAAAATTCAAACCAAGTGACACTAAACCTTGATCTTGGAGAAGCTGAGGCAACTTGCGGTGTGTGACTTGAGCATCTCGGGTATCAAGCTCATTCTCAGCTGCGCGACGATCTGCCATAATCTGATCAAACCCCCTCTCATCCTGAACTGAATCATCCAGACCAAGCGATTCATATTGGTCCTGCTCATCCATCCTCCGATAATCACTGAAGTTCCAAAGAAATTCAAAGAAGAATCAGAGGAAATAACAGAAAACGCGCGCAGCGTCAGTAAAAATAAAGAAAAACACAAAATTAGCAGTGCTTACTCGAGGAAGTTCTCGTTGAAGAGGTCCTCCCCATCTTCCTCTTCTACATCGACATCTGGGTCGTCTCTGATTATTTCCGGATCGACGGCAGCCTCGTCTTCGTCGGAGTAAGCATCCGAAGCTTGGCTGGTGTTGAATGGCAGCTGGTCGGTGTTAAATCCCAACGACGTGGGTGAATCCGGAGTAGATGCCGGATTGCCGTCATTGGGAGATACCGGAGAATTGTTCTGACGCCCGTTGCCGGCCATTTCCTCTATTTTCCAGCGGGCTTGCGAGTGTGCTGAAGTTGCTCGAGAGATAGAGACTCGTTAGGGTTAGCGCTCCCACAAATTAGATTTGAGAGTAAAGAAAGAGCAGTTATTTTGGCGGCAATTTTAGCGCCAAATAATGTCAGCTAATGGGCTGCTTGTGGGCAAACAATGGGCCAAGCCGTAAGATTGAACGGCCTTTTAAAAGAAAATAGATAAGGGAATGGTTAGTTTATAATAGACCGAACATTTGGAATACTTCAAATGCGAAATGGGCTCGAACTAGACTCATTTTCTGAAATAAATGAGCAACCCAAGCCCAGCCAAGTGTAGCTCGCCGCCTGGGTTTTTGAGAATTGCAAATTAGTGAATTTTGTTTTTTGTTCTTAAAACTTTTTTTTGAAATTAAATCATTCTTGTAAAATAGTATTTTACCAAAAAGTTTTTCCTGATTTTGCAATATATACCGTACAACTAGTTGGATATTGATTTATGAGTAAGTGTTTCACAACTCATAAATCTATTTCACAACTAGTTGGATATTGATTTTGCAATATATCCCGATTTTTCGTACATCTGTGTCGGATATTGATTTATGAGTAACAGGCTTGTGAAGTGCGTGTAAATATGAGATAAGACCCTAACAACAAAATCAAAGACCAAATAAGTTAGAGATTAAGTGTTTCACAACTATGCATAAAAAAATGACAATTTATGTGTCATAGATAATGATTGTGTTTGTATATGTCTTAGTTGTGTTTGGTTGGAGGGAGAGAAGGGGAGGAGAGGAATGGAAGGGAAGATTCTATTTTACCTTGTTTGATTGGGGAAAGGGAAGGAATGATTTCATATTACTTTTGTTGGGGGAGGAGAGGAAGGAATAAATAGATTTGACACATCTTATCCATAAGAGAAATTTACCTAAATAAGATTAAAACATAATGACTTTCCCAATATAGGACAATATGTTTTTATTTTTCCATGTAAGACTTTTGGTCATTAACAAGTAGTCATTATTCAAGTAAATGTCCATCATCACTGGACATTATTTTTCCTACTAGGTCATTATTAAGTTCTATTTAGGGAATAAAAAAGTTTAAGACCTACATTGGGAAAGTCATTATGTTTTAGTCTTATTTAGTGCAAATTTTACTATCCATAATTTTAACAAATACAATTTGGATATAATTATAATTTACCCCCTCCGTCCAAAAATTATCTTCCCGTTGCGCGTTACAATGTTTGACTAAAGTTGTTTTCAAAACATTTTATATGAAAAATGGTATGAAATTAAAAAATAAAAATTGCATATTTAAAAAGTACATTAAAATATCTACAAATCTAAAGGTGACAAGATTATATTATTTTATTAAATTGGCAACGAAAATAGGCCAACAAAGTGAAAAAAATTGATCCTGTGAATAGTAAACGAGAAGATAATTTTTGGATGGAGGGAGTAAAATGTAAATAAAAACTACTTCCTCAATATGAATATGACAAAAAATAAAATCATATTCATTGCAAAAAGCGAATTGTCACCAAAGCAATCTATTCGTGCTCTGATATTCAATAACATTCAAAAAAAAGAAAACATATAACCAAGTATTTTGACCATATCCAAAAGTATTTTGAAGCATATCGAATTGAATGACGCGCTACAACGAAGCATAATACATCTTCATTATCACTTGCTTCCTAATTCGGACCGGAGATTGAACTGCAATCCTAAGCTTTTAATCATCACTCATAAGGAAACAATATATGTCGTATTTTGTTAGCATCACACACATTCTTCAAGTATTTTGCATAGTTCTTCACCAGATAATTGAGGCACTTCTCTCTTGTTGTTCGAAGCTCTCTGTAAAACCATATTTCTTTGTATAATTGCTTCATTGCCTTTGTCTAGTGATGTCACCATTGCATAAATTGCTCTCATCAATTCTTTGAAGTTTTCAGGTTCTCGAGGTGCCCTTTTTAGCTTCTCGGTGCAAGCATGGTTAACATGACTAGAATGACTGTCTTCAGGTGAATCCCCTTTCCTAGGCGAGTTATCTTCAAGAAATATCACTATTAAGATCAATATCGTAAATACTCCTAATACCATCTTCTGAAGAACGATGCCTCTTCTTCCATTTTTGCATTGTCTCCCCCCTCATCTCCATTAGCTCTATTTACTTCATATAATCTCATCATCTTTTCAAAACTTTGAAAAGGAGTGCTTCTTCAGTGAGGTGCTTTAGGTTTAGCCTGATGAGATAAAAATGCAATAAGCACAAAAAGATATATTTATTTTAGCATATTAAGAATGCAAGTTGAAAAATAAAAATACCTTAATCAATGCATCCCAAACTTCAGACTCAGCATCACAAAAATGAGTTGTTGGATTCCACGCAAATCAACTCAAATTCTTGAAAACATCATCCACATCAGAGAAGTTTTTTTCAAAGTCTTCCATCGATTTTTCACCTTTTCTTTATCAATTTGATTACCAAATATTGAAATAACGTATTTCACGATATTATCATAAGCTATAGATGAAAAGGTGTCATAAAGTTCGCGGCTCTCATTATATTCAACCATGTAAGCACCAAAGTTAATGAATTTATAATGTAACACCATAATTCGTCCAGGTCTGCAGCTCTTTTCGGACTAAAGTATAAACTTGGTAATCGTAAAATTTAAAAAATTTCAAACACTTTTATTTATCATAATAATATTTTTCATAACATAAATGGTACAGAGTTTTCAATGTTGCGGAAGCTTAACAAATCATACAAGACATAATTAATTTATGCCCTTCAATTCAAAACCATCACATCCATTCTGACTATCTCGCCTCCGCCTGCCTCCAAGATCACATCACATCATTCGTTTTATTTACATGCATGTAGCAAATAAAACATACTACACGCTCAACGTTGAAGCTGAGTAAGAATATCTAATTCGTTGAACATTAGTATAAATTGAATCTCAATTCATAATCAAATCATTTGATATCATGCACATGATGTTCAATTCAAATATTCAGCATTCATTATTTTGATATTGTTCAATTCATATCAACACATGTTATTCAATTCAAATACTCAATATTCATTATTTTGACAGTGTTCTTAAATTATTCTTAATCTAAGGTCAAATGAGAACAATACTCTTAAACTATTCTTAGTCTAAGGCCAGATCATAACAATGCTCTTAAACTATTCTTAGTCTAAGGCCAAATCCACATTTTCATAACCAAACTCTTAAACTATGGCTAGTTTAAGGCTATTTCATAGAATAATTTACCTAAATAGGACTAAAATATAATGACTTCCTCAATATAGGACCATATGTTTTTATTTCTCAATGTAGAACCATTGGTCATTATCTATTAGTCATTATTCAACTAAATGTCCAGCATCACTTAGACATTAATCTTCTCACTAGTCATTAATAAGTCTTATTTAATAAATAGAAAAGTGTAAGTCCTACATTGGGAAATGACTTATGTTTTAGTCCTATTCATTGCAAATTTCACTATTTCATATTGTTGAGCATACTCTTAAACTATGGTTAGTTTAAGGCTAATTTTATTTGAATAACCAGGCTCTTAAATTATGATTAGTTTAAGGCAATTAATAACCAGACTCTTAAACTGTAATTAGTTTAAGGCTAATATTTCTAGACTCTTAAACTGTAGTTAGCTTAATGCAACAACAGAACAACGATTAATCGTCGTCAGGTCGGGTGGTATTTCCAAACGAGTGATTCTCTGTTTTGGTCTATGAACCTCGTTCGTATGTTTTCATCCAATTCACCGAATATACATACTTACGCAAGTCCATTCTAATATGAGGTCTATCTTAGAAGTCTTCTATATAGCCGTAACAATATATGTCATTTTCTTACTCATCAATCTATACACTTTGAATCATGGTTCATTAATTCATAATCGTTGTTTAAATCATGATAATCAAACAAATATAATTATTCACGATTTTATTCTTAGGATTTATTTATTCAATACCATATTTTGTCAGAATAAGATTGTTATCATTATATAATCATAATCACACGGGTCATCTATTTAATTATCATAATCACTATTTAAAAGAAATTGTTACCAACGACGTTTCATTATGGTTTATCCATTATAATAATCATTCGATCAGAATATTCATCTAGGTTTGATCATAATCGATATTCAATAATAGTCATCATAATATTCATTAACAAATAGAGACCTAGGGTCGAGTGTTAACACCCTAACTTATTGTCATGCATCACGTAAAGTTCTTAGATTGGTCAAAACATCATATTCCAGAAATCATATTTATATGGATAAAAATTGATTGTTATCAAAAATAGGATTTAATAGTTCAAAAACCAGGTTTTGGGGAAAATATCAAGTTCTGGACGGTACCCGGTACGGTACCTCGGTACCGTGTCACGGTACCTTAGTACCGATCGCCACCAGCCAACCACCGTCAAGGAGGTAGTTGATGATAGAAGACTACCGTTGCCCTGGTAGGTAGCTACCGTGCTGACGGTACCTAGATACCGTTCGGGCGGTAGCGTGATACCGCTCTGTGTGTAAATTTTAAATAGCGTCATCTTCAACCTTGGGTCAGTTTTTGGAAATACTATTTTTAGTCATCAAACTTCAATTAAACTATATAGAAATGTTCTCCAAGATTCCTAGATCATTTTGGTATCATTAATGTGATGTTTTAACAACAATTTCAAAGTCACGATTCATGGTTCTTCAAACATGTCAAACACAAAACTCAACCAAATGACCGTTTATGAACGTATAAACGATCTATACGAACATTCTAATCACTGTTAGACAAGCGTACAACTCTAGAGGGGGGGGGTGAATAGAGTTGTTTGAGAATGTTTACCGATTTTCGCAGGATTAATAATATAAACGTAAGTGTAGCGGAAATAAAATAGAGAAGGCAAAGAACACACCGATGTATACTGGTTCACCACCTCGTGGCTAGTCCAGTTCCCTGAGAGACTCTCTCAAAGCTACCACTACTTCCGTTAAGCCTACGGGTGCTTAACAAACCGTTTACAACTCGAGAACTTGAATCCCACAAGCTTCGACACAACCGCTCGTAGATATGCCCTCTACAAGACTTCACAACCAAGACTTAAATCACATAAGCCTTGAACAACAAGAAGAACAATCTTCTTCAACCTCTCAACAATAGCTCTCAAAAGAGTAGATAAGAGAAATGATTAAAGCTCTAATGGATGACAAAACACTCTCTTAAAAACAAATAGTTTTCTCTCAAAAATAATATAAATTTAAGGAAAGATTGATGAAGGATTAACACCTCAAGAATGGGGAGTATTGGAGTGTTTCTTGATGTTAAAAAATGAACAAGGAAGAGTGTTTTTATAGAGGAAAAAGAAATAAATCCGTTGGAAGTGGGGAAGGCTGAAGTTGACAAAAAAACCGTTGGGGATTGATCCAAGGGGTGAGGATCGATCACCTGGAGTAATGGATCGAAAATAAATTTCTGTCAAAACTTCGGGGGATCGATCCAAGGAAAAGGATCGATCCAAAGGAACCAAAAATCCGGAAATGAATTTTTGCAAGCCTTCGGCGGATCGATCCAGGGAAATGAATCGATCCAAATCCCTGAGCACAAACCACGGTGATCGATCCTAACAAATGGATTGATCCACTGACGAACAATCCTCAAACATGAGGACC